ATGCTCGTCGTTAGTGCAGCTTTGGAGAGCATTACATTTACTCAGGACTCTGACCAATACAATGGAAGCAAACAGCCTGTGCTGCTCTTCCTTGGCTGTTGTTTCAGGACCTGGCTGTGATCGGTCAAATATATCTCTTGCCAATGGTTCCATAATGTAAAGGGTTTCTTGTTTTTGTTGTCTTCCAACTAATCTCAAAACTCGCCAAAAGTTCACTGACAATTTTGGTGAGTTTAAGGTCCCTTTATGTGCCCTCGCGAATTCTCATATTTGTGACGCATCAAAGAGAACTCGTGACGCATCAAAGGTTTACATTCGCACATGCGCACACCCGCACACTTATAAATCATAGTTTTTTTGTTTGTATTTCCAGGTGAATTGATCGAAATGGTTTTATTTACATATGTAAATGCAGTGTCGCAAACGTGTGTGTGGAAAACAGATTCTTTAAGTTTAAGGAATGCCTGCAGTGTCGCATTCAGTCCAGAAATGCGATAATGCAGAAATGCTTAATGAAACGAGGGAACAACGGTTGAGTTGCCAGGATCATATGGTGATGATCGGTAAATAATGTGTTAGTATCACATCCGATAGGTCATTTCTAAGTAAGGAATACACTGGATCTTTAAGCATTTTTTTTTACAGTGTTTTAATTGTTTTTGTCTAGAAATTGTTCATACAATAACATATCCAAAATGTTTTCTTCACCACAATAAAACTAAAATCGGCTGCATTCACGCAGTCATTAAATAATGCTGCCATTAATGTACTTTTATCATTAATATTGTACTGTAAGAACAATAATCCGGACTCTTCTTCAGCTCCGTTGCGGAGCTTATTTCCTGTAAACACTGGTATGCTTCCGTCTCTCTCATTAACTCAGTAACCCTCATTAACTGCAAATTTAACGCTGTATTGTAAAAATGTTTTCACAGTATTTGTGGCTGAAACAAACTGTTTATAGAATCGGTTTCATTTTATAGCAGGTATCTCAGTTGGTTGATGGCATAGCTGATGTCCATAAAATAAAAGAAACCTGCTAAATTTAAAAAACAACAACAATAAAAATAGTAAAGTAATATTTATGTGTTGAAACCAAATGATGACATTTTAGCTTATTAAGTCAAAGTTGTTGTTTTTTTCAGGAGACTCTTTTTTGGGGGTTCTTTGGGGTTTGTTTGTTTTTTCCATATATCAATACTAAAAATCTGTCTGCATCGTTCTTTTATAACTATAACTTACAATTGTTCCAGGTCCTGCACAGCTCCTCCTCACCAAGAAATGTGGTCGTATGTGTAGAGAAAAGAATTGTTATTGGGAGCAAATAAGGTCTACAATTAAGGAGAACTAACGCAAATGTAAATGTGGTGCAAAGAAGTGGTCAAGATGTGATTACTCACACCAGTTCCGCTTCTTCTTTTTCTGTGGTTTTACTTCTGGTGGGCTCTTAACCTCTGGTGTCCTTTTCTCCCGCAGGCTCCTGAAGAGACATGAGGTCTGTGGCAGGGAGTCCTCTTTTTCTTCCTGTTCTTGTTCTCCGGTCTCTTTTTCTTCCAGAGGTTCCTGAAGAATGGTCTTGTTGGAGCAGAGCTGGGCTTTCAGGTGTCTGATTTCCATTTTGAGTGTCTCCTGGTCCTGGCTATGTTTAACTACCTGTTCTTGGAGTTGATTTTGACATGCTAGGAGCTGTTTCTGGAGCATCTCTATCTGATCATTTTGGTTCCTACACTGATCCTCCAATTCAGCCTCCAAAGCAAACTATAAGTTTTAATAAATGTTTGTTAAAAAAAACAAAACCTAACCAATGTAGAAGACGACTGTTTAGTGGAAAAGTATTTGACATTTGAGAGATTCTCACACATAGTAACTTATTTTAATCACGCAAACTAGGACATTTAGAAAACTTTCATGTTTAGTGAAAGATATTTATTAACACTATGCAATGACTATTACTGAATGTCTGTTGGCAGTGGGATCTTGGTGGTTGCCAACGCAACAGAATGTCAACTAAGTTTTCTTTTAAATTCCGTTTCATTGCTGAAACTTTCATTGCTTCATTGCTTTTTTGACACATCTATGCTCTTTGGAACGCTGAGGCCCTCCGTTGTCTGGTCTAGCAGCACTTTAGTGTGGGTGGCATGCTCGTCTTTAGTGCAGCTTTGGAGAGCATTACACTTCCTCAGGACTGAGCAATACGATGCAAGCAAACAGCCGGTGCTGCTCTTCCTTGGCTGTTGTTTCAGCATCTGGCTGTGATCGGTCAAATATATCTCTTGCCAATGGTTCCATAATGTAAAGGGTTTCTTGTTTTTGTTGTCTTCCAACTAATCTCAAAAGTCACCTGACTTTCACTCACAATTCTGATGAGAATAAGGTCCCTCATAGGGACAACATTTATTAAAGCTTTCGGGGCAGGGAGCATGTCTTATATTGATGCTGCTGAGAGTTACTTTATTGACAGCTCTAAAAAACATAGATCTACGTCCTTGTTGCTTAAACTGGGCTCAACCTTAAACATTCCATAAAATTTAAGCAATTTCTGGAGGATCACAGTTTTGTAAGTATGCGCATTTACATGTAATAATGGGTTTTTCATCACACCCAGTAGGTCAGCTGTTATACAGTGGCTTGCAAAAGTATTCAGCCCACTTGAACTTTCCCACATTTTGTCACATTACAGCCACAAACATGAATCAATCACGTGA